CCACAAAGACCGACGCCAGCGCGATCACCAACGCGACCGCCGCCAGCCCGCCCGCCGCCAGCCACGCGACCACCGCCATCGCGACCAAGGCGACAACCGCGAGCGCGACCGTGATCACCAACATGACCATCACAAAAGCACCACTCACTGCGCCCCCCCCCCCCTGCCCCTGCCGGGCCGCCCTCGCCGCCGCGCTCGCCCCGCGCCCCTGCGCCCCCCCCCGCCCCCCCCTCCCGGTGACCTTCCTCTTCCAGCGCCAGCGGCGGGGGCTCTCGCGCGTGGCGGGGCGCCCCTCGCGGCCCCGCGCCGCGGCCGCGGGGGGGGCCGAAGGAGAAAAGCAAATGGAGAGGGGCAGGGGGCGGCAGTGGGGGAGTGAAACAAAGACGAGAGACGCGGGAGGAGGGGGGGCAGAGGGAAGCGGGGAAAAAGAGAGGGGGAAAGGAGAGACAGGGGGAGAGGAGGCAGGCGGGATGACGAAAGAGGAGGAGCGACGACGGAGGAGGGGCGACGAGGAAGGAGGAAGGGAAGGAAGAGGGGCGAAGCACCGGCCTTCCTGGCGCAAACGAAGACGCAGCCGCCGCCACTCGTGAACAGCGCAAGCACGGCGGGGCGACGCCCGCTGCGCATTGCTGTTCGGAGAAAAGCTAGGGCGGGCAAGATCGAGACTGCGTCGCGCGTGCGTCGCGCGTGCGTCGCGCTTGCTTCGCGCTCGCGGCGCGCGCGTCGCGCGTGCGTCGCGCGTGTCGCGCGGATCGCTCGGGCGTCGCGCGCCGGCGGGGGTGCGTCGCGCGCGGGTCGGGGCGCGTCGCGCGCGCGTCGATCGGGCCGTTTGCGCGTCGCGCGCAGGTCGCGCGCGCAACGCTCGAAGGGCGCCGTGGACCTCTGACGGCACGTGAACCGCGCGGCCCGCTGGCGAAACAATCCAGGAATGCGCGCGACAATCGCAACAAGAGCAAGACACGCGCGTGAAAACTGCGAGCACGAAAAGACCAGTAGACGACATGGAGACGCAGCGCGCGCGGGGGAATCGATTTCAAGCGCGCGCGCCCCGTCGTAATTTGAACGTCGAATCGTCGCTGCAACAACTTGGCGACGTCTCGCCCGCCGATGCAGCGGGGGGAAAAAGAGGAGGGAAGTGAGGCGGGGGAAGGGCGGGCGGAAAAGGGAACGGACGGGCGAGGGGGAGGCGCGCGGGGACGGCGCAGCGGCGGCGGGAGCGATGGGAGGCAATCGAAGGGGGTCGACGGGGGCGAGGATGGCGAGAGGGAGGTTTCAGGAGGGTGGAAGGACAACAAGGGGGTGAGTAGGGAGGGGAGGCAAGACTGCAGCCTGACACAACAAATAACTTCATATACTTTCGCAAACGGGACAAGACGCGCAGCGCGCTCGACTAGGGGAAGGTGAAAGGGGAAGGGGCAGGAGGATTGGCGCGAAACAACATGGGGGCGCGGGGCGCGATGCGGCGGGGCGAAGTGGCGCCGCGTCGCGCGACGTGACGTCACCCCCGCAATGGCGCGACGCGCGCAGCCCCCAATCAACGCGAGGCGTCTTCGTCCTCAGTTACGGTTGGCGCTCCCCGAAAAGACGCACCAGCGAATCCTTTTGTGCCGAGTGTGAAACACAGCGCGTTGGCGGACCGTCGAACTATGCGTGCGCCACGACCGCCAAACTGGCTGCTGTTGCGCAAAAGTCGGAAACCTATACGTCGCCAGCGAAATTCCGAAGTCGCGCCACATGTCGCCCGCGAACTGTGGGAGGCCGGGATTTGGGACAAAGACGCAAACTGGGACCGGCGCGCGGGCGACGCACGGGCGACGCACTGAACGAAACTTAAGGGGGGGGGGTCGTGCTACTGGGCCTTAGCACCTGCATCTACAGACAAGGCTCGCGCCTTCTAAGCAGGGGTGCCTCTAAGAAGCCTTCCCCTTCCCCCTAGAGAGCGTTTTCTTACATATTCGGCGTTTCGACAAGTGGAGAGGGAGGGGAAAGGGGGGGGTCTGGCTCCGGACCTCTGCTTAGTGCGGCTGTTTGGAACCGTGAGTCCTCGGGGGGAGACCCCACCTGCTCGAAACAGGCGCCCGAAACAGACAAGATCTACTCCACGAGGGGGGGGAAGGGGGGATGCGAGAGCCAACGCAATCGTTTTTTTTCTTGTCCGCCAGACTTGCACGAAACTTCATTTACACACTCGGTGGAGGTAGCGCGTATGCGCATGACGACATGCAGTCTCTCCGGTGGCAACAGTGGTTGTGTTTATCAGGCAGGCGGCACTTCTTGGGGGCCTCCGCAACAGCAAGCGCGTACTAAAACGTTATCATTGTCGGAAGGACCCTTTCCAATCCATAAGCATCTGAGCAAGCCCTGCTGTGACAACAGTTGGAGTCGTCGCCAAATTCCCACCTCGCAAGCCACCGAGGTATAGCGCATAATAGACGTGGATTTTGCAACAGCGGTGCGGAGCGGGCCCCCAAAAAACTGCCCGCAAGCATCGCCTCTCATATATTGGGCCCCTCGATTCTTGGTCTCTGCAAATGAATAGTTGGCCATACGGTCAAACGAGTCTTGGACTTTAACAGGATCGATCATATCACCATACCGCCATGTCAGGGCCCATGGCCCAATATGCCTGAGTCTCGCTGATTGTCAAGCCTATCCAATATGTGCTTCACCTGATCCTTGCTTCCGCAAAGCGACGTCAACATCTGACACCGCCAATCTTCTCTACGTTTGCTGTGCACTTTGAACAGACATTTGTACATCGATGGGTCGAGTACCTGCTGGATCAGTGATCTGTTGAAGGAACAAGCCCACGTCGGCGCCCTTGTTCTCGAGGGAGGAATTCACGATCAATCGCGCCTGGTACTCGCCCCCCCTGTTCCACATGTGCACCAGCAAGCGGGCGTCTTCAACGATGCTGGAGTTGTTGCTGCCTGAGATCATTCCGATGTATACGTCCACGTTCCGTGTCAGCCGAGCCCCTCGCCGAGAGATGCAGGCGGCCCCTTCTAGCACATTGGTGACGCAATCCCGAAGGTGCGGCCATACAGACGTGTTCGCCATCTGCACGAACACCGCTACAGCTGACGTCGGAGGAGAAGCAGGCGGCGTCGAGGAAGATGCGCGCTCACTCGACCAAATAGCATGCGTCGCTGCCGCATGCAACGAAAATAGCAAAGCATGCGCAAGTATCGATGCGCAGACAACAACGCAATAACACAGCCCTGCGCGGCAACCCTCCAATTGAAACAACTTGGGGCCACTCGGAGCCGGCCAGAGCCGCATGCCGACTTGAGGCAAAATGACTTGAGCCAAAATGGCTACGGATCTGAGCCAGCGCAATCGGCAAAACAATGAATAAGAAAGCGATCACCTATCCGGGCACCTCTGCGCGTGGCCGACCATTCTTTTCGTACCCATGCGGGCCTCGGAGGCCAATGTGAACGTTTATCGATCGAGGTTGGCCAGCGAAAGTCGCTAGTGATGGGCCGAAAGGGGCAGGGATGCAAGGGTACCCTTGGGAAGGTTGCCCATCCTTCCTGTGCGGGTTGACTGCATCCCCCTGTGCGCGTGGCCGACCACTCTTTTCGTGCCCAACACGATCGTGCCGAGCAGATGTCGTGGGGCCAGGCCTTGGGCCGTCCTTCGGCCTCCCTGCCCAGACCTCCGACGATATGATTTTTCACATGGCGTGCTTCCCTCGACCTCGGCCTCGGCACGAGAGGCATCCAGAACGGAGAAGAAGAAGAACGGAGAAGAAGAAGAAGAAGAAGAAGACGCCGTGCACGTCAGAGGTGCATGGGCAGGAGAACTGGCGCCGACGCGACGGCAGCCGAACGCAGGGAAACACTTCGAACACCCCATCGTCGCCAACTCTGTGGAGAGGGCGCGCCTGGAAACTTGTACATGCACATCCCCCTCGCCATGAGGCCCCCTCAGAACGGAGCCCGGACGGAAAACTGCCCCCTGGCCCCGTGGAGGGAGGGCGGGTATTGAAAAATATGCTGGAACGTGTTCCCGCGAGGCGCGCCGCCCGCAGGGTGGGTGGCGTCCAACAAAAACCAACGGATTTTCCCCGGGAGTTCGCCAGGGGGAGTTGGGGGACGTAAAGCCTCTCGACCCCCCATATAGCAAATCGTATCGGCGGATGTCAGGGCGGTTGGCCTCGGGTTCCTGGGGGGCTGGAAGAGGAGCCCTGGGTCCCTCGGAGCGGGGCCTCGCGCAAGAGCGGCCGGAGCGGGCGTGGGAGAGAGGAGCAGCAACGGATGAACACGGAAGGCGGGGGGGGGGGAGAAAGAGGCAAGGCGGGGCGCGCCGAAGAGGGGGGGAGGGGAATGGGGGAGGGGGAGGGGCGGAGGCGGCGAGGCAGGACCTGGGAGGGCCGCGGGCGCGGCAGCAGCTCCCGTCGTCGTCACCATCGCCACCATGTCGTCGCCATCTCCCACCACCACTGCCATCATTCGGACGAGAGCGAGTTGAGACAGCGGCAGCTCAAATCGGTCCCCGGACCCCTCCCAAGGTCCAAACGCAGCCGTTTTCCGAGCTGCGTCCAGCCGTGGCGACGAGGGCCCCCCGAACGCCAACTAGCGCTGACTCAACTCGCCTCCTCTGAACACCTCCGACGTCACCGCCTTATTCCGCACTCCCCCCAAGTGCCATGGCGAGTCAAGCCCTGAGCGGGGATCCCAGCAGCCAGTGCTCAAAGAGTACCGCTCGGACTGAATGGCAATAGTACTGTCATACTCTCCCCTGCAGACCGCTTGAGCGAATCAAGTCGAAAGCAAAGAGTGTTCAGTCATCATCTCGACATCCTCCCCCCCCCCGCAAGTCCCGAGGGCGTTCCTCATTGGCAATGCCCTCCGCCCTCCGCGCCTTCTTCCGCACTCCTCCCTCCGCACTCCCCCGTCCGTCTCCATTCCTCTGAACACCTCCGCCCTCCACGTTTTGTTCCACACTCCTCCCTCCCCGCAAGTCCCGAGAGCGTTCCTCGTTGGCCCCGAAGCCTGCGTGCGGGAACGGTCGCGCGTCGACGAGCCCGTGCCGGCGGCGCCGCCCAGCGGCAGGGACGCCAGGGACACGGCGCCCGTCTGCCTCTGTCCGCCTCGCCTCGGGGGGGCGCGGGGGGCGTGGGGGGCGCCAGCGCCCTCGCGCTGCCGCTGCTGCCCATCCTGCTCTGCTCTGCCTCCTCCCCCTCCCCCTCCTCCTCCCCCTCCTCCTCCTCCTCCTCCTCCTCCTCCTCCTCCTCCTCCTGCGCGCTCTCCCTTTCCTTCGGCCTGCCCGCTAATCGCAGACCTGCGCGCATCGGCCTCGAGCCTCGTCCTCATCCTCGTCCTCGTCTTCGTCCTCCCACCCCCGCCTCCTCTGAGGCCGCATCGGCTCGAGCGCCAGAGCCCCCCGCGCCATTTCGGCCTCGGACCGTGCCCCAGCTTCCCAGTAGTGCTTGAGGGGCCCGCGTATCTCCACAGACCGTCTCTACACCAAGTGCCAGGCGTGCGGGGCATGCGAATGGAATGCGATCCCCATCAGTCTAGTGGGAGGAGATCTATGCATGCATACCCACTGCTCCCTGGCCAGGCCCATCCTGAACCGGCCACAGGTGTATACGCCACGCCCTCCTGGTTTGGCCGCAAGGGCGAAAACACAGCTGTTGGGTTCAGGATGGGCCTGGCCAGTGATCAATGGATATGTGTAGATCTCGTCGCCCTACAAACGAGGTTGCGTTTGCATGTGTGATGCTTGGGTGACCTTGCAGAAAAGCGCCAAAGGCAAGCGCAAACGGACAAGGGGCACCAGTCAGGGCACAATCATCTTGCGCTGGCCCGACCGGCGGCAAGTTCTCCGTCGTCGTCTTCTGCGCCCTAGCCCACGTCCTTGAAGGTCCTTGAGAACGCGCTGGCAGTTGCAGAGGACCAGACGCTCAGCCTCATCTTGTAGGCCCAGGGCGCTAAGCTCAAGGAGCAGGGCATCAGGGCATCCGGCAAAGGCCGCCCTATCAGCTTCTCTCTCACCAGAGGAGACGATCAAGAAGACGGCAGGTGCAATTCGGGACGCTCAGCTGAGGCAAGACCAGGCGGTGGAAACTCTCATCAAACCAAGGAAACCTCTTGAGCGAAGAAGCAAGAATCGGCTATAGTTCTGGCAGCAGCAGAGCAGTCCAAATGTCAGGCTGCCAACGCGCTGATAATGAAAGGAGGAATGCTTCCGAGCGGCGAATCGGTAGAGACGAGCCAGGTAGAGACGCCAGGCACGATGATCAGATGGCCGCAGTCGCCTCCGCCTCCCGTCGTAGACCACCCCACCCGTGCCGAGGCTCGTGGGCGGGCCCTCGACCTCGTGGAACGCGATGCCGAGCGACTTGAGTTTGTCCATGGTAGCCTGCAGCGCGGAGCCCACATCGTCCTCCGACAGGCCCAGGAACGACGCGGCGCCCGCGTAGACGGAGCCTGCGGGGCGCCGCGGGCCCGCGACTGGGGCCGACTGCTCGTCGAGGATGAGCCGCCTGGCGACGCCGGGCAGCACCTTGGAGACCCAGCCCGCGACAGACGAGCGCGCCGCCCGGAGTGCCTGGGACCACCCCATAGCGACGCCACGAAGGACAAGAAAGACCAGCTCGTCAGGATCGTGGGCTGAGGGCCCGTCAGGCGCCCAGACATGAGCGACCCCGTCTACCGACGCGCGCTCGGGAAGTCCACGCCGAAATCCTCGGCGATGCGGTCCGAGAAGAACTGGTCGCACGAGTCCTGGAAGTCGAGCGAGACGTCGAAGATGCGGGGCGGAGGGCCGTCAGCGACCTGGCCCCCAGTCTCCGCGATCGCATCGTCCAACTGGCCCTGCTCGCCACTGGCGGCCAGGGTGCCTGGGGCACCGCGAGGCGGAGCCCGGCGGGCGCGGCCGGCGTCTCGAGCGTCGACAACCAGACGGATCCAACTACCTTTCTTCTCGACGACGAAGCACCCTACCCGTGACCTGATGCGCCGGCGGAAGCCGACCAGGCCGCGGGGCGCGAGGCCACGGAGAAACTTCCGACGCAGAAGAGGATCGCTCGCAAGCCGCGCGTCCCAGCGCGGGGCGGCAGGCGGCTCGAGCTCGAGGCCCCGCTCAACCGCGCGGCCGGGCTTCCTGCTGTAAGCGCCGGGGTCGCGGAAGGCGTCGGCAGCGAACTTGGGGCAGACTTCCTCCGCGTCGCGAGGCGCGACGGTGGACTGCCAGAACTTGAGCTTGGACTCCTCGCGCGGGGCGACCTTGCAGGGCGCGCCCCGTAGCGCGAGTCGGACGTGGAGAGCCCCCGCAGGGCTCCGCGAGGATGATGGCCAGCGGCGCAAGGCCCGCGCTCCGCCACGCGCCTGACGAGCTGTCGCAGCACGAAGGTGAAGCGGCTGAACCCGCTGGCCCTGAGTCGGCAGCGCCGCCCGGCCCGCGGCCAGAGGGGCGAGCCGCGCTGGAGGCGAGGCCGTCGACGGAGCGGCCAGCCTCTCGAACGCGGTGTTCGCGAGAGCGTCACACCCGCTGGCGCAGGTTGGGCAGGCGCGGAGATGCGGCGCTGCAGCTAGCAAACAATACGATTGCACACAACGCCGGCACACATCAGGGCGCGTCATAGAGAAACAACCACACACCCAATTCTTCGGCGATGGAACTGCCATTTGTGGCATAGTCCTGTTGCTATGACGGCAACAGGTGTGTGTGCGTGTGTATCCGTGCTGCATGATGGATGCAATGGTGCGCGCTGCTTCTCTACAATCAAAATTGCGCGCGCCGCATCTCCGCGCCTGCCCAGCACAAGCGCCGCGGCGCTCTGCAAAGGTCGACCGGCGGCACGGGCCCCGGGGCCGAAAGACACAGTGGGCCCTCATGAGATGCACGAGAGCCCGCCGCCATGAAGAGGAAGACGCGGGGGCGGCAGCGGCGGCGGACCCCGCGGAGGTCGACGCGGAGGGCAAGGCGCCGCAGGGCGCCCAGTCCGCAGGGGGGCCTTCGGCCCCCGGCTATCCGCCTGAGCTGGTCGTGCCTCCTTTGGCCCCTTGGGTGGAGCCTTCGGTCGCGCGGCCGTCTTCTCCTCCTGCCACTGCCGATTCGCATTCGTGGCCTGCGCCCGCGCGAGGGCCTGGCCCCCGACCCGGTTCTCGAACTCTGGCAGCGCCGTGCCGCCCGCGTCGTCGACCGCCGCGTCGAGGATAAGGTCGAGACTCTCGAAGTCGGGGGCGCGGGAATTCTTGCGGACGGCGGCCTCGAGCTGCTTCGGGCGCCTGATGAGGCACTTGGCGCCCGACGCGCTGGTCGAGCTGATCGAACTGCTGCACCGCGCGAAGCGCCGCGCAGATCACGCGACGCTCCCGCGCCACATTGCTCCGCTCGGTGACCCCGCTCCTCCGAATCCAGGTCGCGCGATGGCCCTCCCAGGTGCCCTGGCCGCCGTCGCGCAACGCCAGGATCGCCTGGCGGGCGGCCCTTCTGCCCTGCAACGGCCAGCCAGGGATGGCCGCCTCCTTCATGCGCCTGACCGAGTCACGGATCTCGATGCAGCGACCGCCGCGTGGATCCCGCTCGTCGCCCGCGACTTGAGGATCGCGACCAGCGCCGCCGCGAGCGAGGGGCAGGCATGAGTTGAATGTCCGACCCTCGGCCACTCTGACGGCACGGAGCCAGACATCGTCGATCTTCACCAAGGCCGCGTCTCCACGACTCAAGAACTCATCGTCGTTGCCAAGCACCCTCGGGGGGACCTGCTCCGATGCGTGCGACGAGGCCGAGTCGCTCACGAACCGCGTGCCCCCGGGCAGCCCAACGACTCCAACGACGTCAAACCCAAGGATGACCAGGTAGGCCTGCATATCCTCCGGCGCCGCAGCATCGAAGGCGTAGATGTTGCCCAGGTGGCGGGCCAGGAACGGCCCCGCCCGCCGCGGCGCGATGACCCGGCACGCCGAAAGGTCGGCATAGGCGACCTCGCCATCGGGAGTGAACCGGATCCACTTCTGGGCGTCGTCCTTGACCAGCAGCACGCGGCGGCGCCGCCGGAAGTCCGGGTCGGCCTCGAAGCAGACCAGACACAGACTGAACTGCGTGTCCAGGGCCCGCGCCATGGCGGCACTCAGTCGCGAGGGGTGCCAAGAGCCCGACGGCTGCGGCGCAGGCTCGCCAGGGTGGCGACCGAGCACGCCCCGTCCACGACCACGCCGTCGTCGTCTTGGGCCGCCGCCCGATCCCGCGCCGGCGCGACCGCCGGCCAGAGGCGGATCAGCCAGACAGCGGGGGCGACGCTCGCGCCCGCGGCCGCGCCCGCCGCGACGCGCCGCAGACGTCGAGGCCCGTGTAATGCCCGAGCGGGATCGGGCGCGGCGGGCAGGGCCAGCGCGGCGGGCGCTGCAAATGCTCCGGCCCGCAATGCGCCAGGTGCTGCTTGCGGAAGACGGCCGCCAGACCGTCGGAGGCGTCGGGGCCCTCGAACGCGCGGCGGCAAGTGACCTCCGCGATCGTGGGGCGGCTGCCTCCAACCCAGCGCTCAGAGAGGGCGCCGATGACCCGCCCACCAGCCACCTGCGCCCACCCAGCCACGAACTCTTCGCGGCCGAAAGGCTTGAGGGGGCAAATGCGGCGGAAGAAACGGAGAGCTTAAGCAAAACCGTCGCAGAGCACATGCAATAACAACCGCATCATCGGCGGTCCAAGAATACGACTGATTGTCATAGAAAGCGAATGCGAATGCGAATGCGCGCTGTGCCCGGCCGGGGGCGGCCGACCCGCGAGGGGCGGAGCGCGTGGGCCGCAGCCTTCACCTGATCTTGCACTTCGTGAAGTCTTCCTCCAGATCTTCCAAATTGCCAGAAAAATCTAACCACGATTCATGAATACCTGCGCCCGTGGGAATATCGTCTGCCCACCGGCTCTTGGGTCGACCTTGCGATCGAATCAAACTCCGTTTTGCCGTGTGCTGCGGTTCCCACTCAACAACAACACGCGCCCACCGTGCCCTGTCCAGCTCTCGCACGCGTGCTGCCCATCTCCATTTGTTCCTTCGCTGTGTGACTGTCCACCATTCGAACTGCGCGTCCTCCACTGTTGTCTCGGCTGCTCGCGTTGCCCGCCTTATCCAACCCACCCAAGGCTCTAATTCTCCATCTGCAGTGGTATCAATCCAGATTCGTCGCCTCCGGTGTCCAAGAATGAGCCGCAGCATGCGTCTCTGACATTTCTGCAGTTTCCGTTCCATGCATGCTGTTATCGTCCAGGTTGCTGCCCCGCGTAGTACTGTAGGCTTGACGACTACGTCAAAAAGCTTCAAACGATCCCTTAAAGAGTATCCATGATTTGCAAGTTCTTGCTTGCGCACCATAAACTTTCTCCAGCCCGTTGATATCCGGCTGTCAAGCTCTGCGTCGCTGGGCTCGTCAAAGGTGAGCTTGCGCCCGAGGTGCTTGACATTGCCAGAAAAGGGAAGAATCTCGATCCTCATATCCCTTACGTCCATGTACGTCCTGGATATGGTAAGAGACTGCACAAACTCTTCGTCTTGTCTGGATGCATTTCCAAACCCCTTTCGCCGGAGGCCGCGGCGAGGTCGCCGAGCATTTTCCGTGGGTTTGCAAAGGACGAAGCAACCAGCAACACGTCATCGGCAAAGCGTAACTTGGATAATAAAGTGCACTCTGTGAAACTGAGACCACTTCCCCTTCGCCTCCCGGAACGCGTCTTTCAGGACTGCGTTGAACAGCAACGAACTTAGTGAGTCACCTTGCCTGGTTCCCCGTCGCAAAGAGAAAGGTTTGCTCATCTTGTCAGTACGAACACAAGCACTTTGGTCAGCGTATAAACATGATAACAGGTTCACGCAAGCGTCGGGCACGCCCTGCCACTGAAGCGCCCCCCATACGCATCTGTGTTCCACGCTGTCGAACGCCTCCTTGAAGTCGAGCGCCGCAAACCACGCTGGGTGGTTCCATTCTCTTGTTTTTTTCTTGTATTTGAGCTGCTGTCCACAAGTGGTCTACAACGCTGTAATCCCTTCGGAAACCAGCTTGGTCCGGCGCCTGTTCCCCGTCTAGAATATCCTCCAGTCGTTGGGCAAGGGGTCGAGCGAACAACTTGTAAAGAATTGGTGCGCTTGTTATCGGCCTGTGATTTGAAGGTAGCTTAGGGTCGCCGGCTTTGAATATTACTGACCAAAAAGATGTATTCCACTTTGCTGGGGCCTTCTTCGGATCTTCCAAAATACGACTGTACACAGCCAGTAACGCATGTTCTAAATGCTTTCCACCTTCTGCATTATTTCTGCAATTATTTCAGCCGCGTCTTCACTTACCATACTTGAGTTGCCGAACTGCCTTTTGGAGCTCGGCCTCTGCGAACGGCTCGACCGCCGCCGCGCCCCGCGCAACAGGCATGTCTGCCTCGCCGCCCAGTGCGTGCCGGGACGCAAATAAATCCGGATAAACATCAGAATGCGTTAGCTGTGGATTGTCTGTCTGCTTGTTCCATCCCAGCCGAATCCACCATTGATGCAATCAAATTCCGTTTGCCCCTTTGCTTGATGTTTGCAATTCTTCCCAGGCCTTCCCCGGGGCGCAATATTTCTGATGCGCGCTCCTGGCATTCCACGCGGTGCTGCTCGCGAATTTCCCTCTTGGTGTTTTTGCTTATCTGCGAACGCGTGCCAGGATCGCCTCGATGTTGTTCCGTTGATGCAGTGGCGAGTGCAATCTTGAGCTCGTAGGTCCGCCGTCTTCTCGCTTGCGATGTTCTGCGACTGCTGCTTTTGAAGCTGCGCGCAACGTGCATTCTTCTATGCTGCCACACTCCAAAGCACCAGTTTGAGGACGCAAGTCTCCCTTCAGCGCATCCTGGCACGCGGCTGCGTCAACAGAACCCCATTCGGCCACTCGGCATTGCCATTCATGCGCTTCCCCTTTTCCTTCTTTATTAACTTACCCACGCCTGTCCTCAGCACCACGCGGACCGCGCGATCATCAGAACCGAGATCGACGAATTGCTGGGACTCTGCATTCAAAACTTGTCGCCACGCCTTCTGGTCCACAAGTATGTAATCGATATGCCGGGCCCGCCCGCTAGGCCCAATCTACGCGTAGCGTTGGCGCGGCTGCTTTGGGAAGAACGTGTTGGCAACCGCCATTATTTCGTATGATGCCCATGTCTCGAGCCAATCGCCTCTGAAATTAGACAGGCCCAGACCATGACGACCAATGATCCCGGCATCATCGCTCTCCGCGCAGCTGCCCACTTGAACGCGAAAATCGGCGCCGACATAAAAGTTCATTTCCTTCTCCAGCGCCTCTGACTTCAACTCTGCCAGAATTGTGTATAACTCCTGCGCGCGGCGCGCGCCCCCATGGCCTGGGCGCGGAAAATACGCAGTCGCAATCCTCGCTCTCAGCCCCCCCTCCCAAGATATCAACGCATGCAGCTTGCTCAGAAATCCCAGCGAAACCCCGCGCGTGATTCGCAAGACGCTTATGTGCAAGAATGGCGACCCCGCGTTTGCCGCCCACGCCACCAGAAGCAGCGACCAGGTGCCCTGCTGGAGTAGTGAAGTGCTCTTTGCCCTCCTCGCGCCATGTTTCGCTCAGGGGAAGGACGTCCCACTCCACCGACGATAGCTCAGAAAATAACTATTCCAGGCGGTCGTCCTTACTCGAACCGCGCGCATTCTTTTAAATGATCGTGACGTTGCGTGTATTATGGATTCCTAGTGTTGAATGACCTTCACAATGCCCGTCCTTGAACTGGTACCCGCTCTGCGGTTCAATTGCGCCCATGCTCGAAGTGCGCCACTCGAGCCCTCGCTTCTCCTTCCATTCCGAAAAGCTCTGGGCAACGTGATCTGAGATGTTGCTGGCTTCGCCGGAACAATCCACCTCCCCCACCGGCTCCGATCCAAGCGAACTTTTTGCCCTTGACCTTCACCTTGTTTTTCTTCCAGATAATACGAACATCCTTCAAAGCATGCCCTGCTTCCTCATGTAGGTGGTACTTTACGAAACCAAGCGCTTTGTCGTCGCACCGTTTCTCAATAGTGTCATTCGTCTTGAAACGTAGATCATCTCCGTTACTTCACTTAGTATATGATGTGTGTGCCTTCTTTAAGAACCAAATTTTGGACGCAACACTCTTGAATTGCACTACTCCTACCTTCGACGGGTCGATGAAAGTGCCGATTGATTCATACTTTTCTTTCCCACCGAGCTCCCCAACAATCGTTGTCACTTGGGGTGCGATGTTCTCCTCATCCTGCTCCTCCTTCGGGCCTTCCACGATAACCTGTAGCTCACGTAGCCCATATTCCATTTCCTGCTGTGCTGCACCTCCCCCTTCCCCTTTAATTCCCGGTCTGCTGTCGAACTTGACCTTTAGGTCCTGGATGTATTTTGCCACTACGTCGCCCCTGGCTTGTAGTTTCTTGACTGTGTCGCTGATGCCGTCGACGGTGCTGCTCATGCTTGTCACTTTCTCCATCGCCATCCCGTTGGTTGCCAAAGCATTCTGAGCAATGAACTTATTTTGACTCACGTCCGAATTCAGCTCGGCAAGCATCTCGTACATGAGGTCGATCTTTCTGTCAGTGTTCATGCTCTTGAAATCCTCCTTGATGTTTGTTTTTATTTTCTTGTATTCCGGCGACTGCCCCGTAGACCCATGATTCGCCATGACTTACACGACAAACTTTGAATATCCAGTGTGCAGTGTTTGATCGGTTCGCTTTGCTAGCTTGGCTGAGCTTGAGCCAGGCGCGATTGGTTGTCCACGACGAGGGCGCGAAGACAGTTGCGCTTCGCGCTCCGCAGTCTGGGCGACGTCAGAACGAGGCGCGAATCCCTCGTCCTGTTCCCGGGGGGGGCGGCGCGACAGCGCGAAGATGATCACGCTTCGCGGAGCGCGAGGCGCGGAGATAGTTGCCATAGAGAACGCGCGCAGCGGATGGACGCGCCTGCTGATAGGCGGAAGCCTGTCGAGAATCGCGGCCTCAGGAGGTGGCACATGTGCCCTTCAGAGCTGCGACTCCGAGTAACAACAGCGGGTGCCTTGTAAGCAACGGGTGCACAGGGTGATCCGTCGCACGGCCAACTGCACCCGTCCACGCAGGCCGTTTCGATTATTTTGCGTCGTCGAAGATTACCAGCATGGCTGGCGAACAAGTTCGTAGACGAATCGCCGCCCGATGTGATCATGCAGCGCAGTGTGGGGTCATTGGTGGCTACACGGAGCGCGCTGTTCGGCAGAGCGATGGGCAGCGCTCGGCGAGGGGGAGCGTGATACGCCCGTCACGCAGTTCGTTCATGGCGGCCTCCAGTATCGATAGCGAGTGGATCGATGACCTGCTCTGCTCGGGAACTTCGACATCCTGCGCAACCAGGCCCAACAGGCAGACCCCCAGGAGGAGCGGCAGTCCCTCGTCTATGTGCGTGGTCCTCCCGGCGCGCTGGGCGCGGCATGGAAAGAATATACCCCTCAGCTTTATTGCGAAGGCCTCACGGCCAGTGCCGCCGACCCTGAATGGGGACGACGACGACGACGACGACGACGACGACGACGACGACGACGACGACGACGGCGACGACGACGACGACGACGACGGCGGCGACGACGACGACGGCGGCGGCGGCGGCGGCGGCGACGGCAACGGCGCTGACCTGGGTCAGAGTCCGAGAGTGCGCCGTTCGCGCGAAAACAGTTCGCGCGAAATCCGCGGCCGTTCGAGCGAAATCGTTTCGGCGAGTGCGCACGAAAAGGGATGAAGGGATGAAGCGCTGTGGATTCCTCACTGATCCTCATCCTGATCCCGTCTTTTCTGATATCCCCCTCGTCCTCCCTTTCCTCCTCCTCCTCCTCCTCTTCCTCCTCCTCCTCCTCCACCTCCTCCACCTCCTCCTCCTCCTCCGCCTCCGCCTCCGCCTCCTCCTCCTCCTCCTCCTCCGCCTCCGCCTCCGCCTCCGCCTCCTCCTCCTCCTCCTCCTCCTGCTCCTCCTTCGCCTTCTCCTCCTCCTCCTCGGTACGCAGCGTGGGGCACGGGAGCCGCGGCTCGGCTACTCCCTCGCCCCGCGACTAGCATGAACCGTGATTCCTGCGCAGCCCAAGCAAGACAAGATGTCCACGCCCATGGGCCCGGCAACTGGCGGGGACCGGGATTTCCACACGTTCCGGACAAGAATATCAAAAATCCTGGTTCCCGCCATCCGCGGGGCGCAAGGGCGCAAGGAGCTAAGATTTCAGCGCAGCTGCGCCCCGCAGCTGGGGGGAACCGGGATTTCCCCGCGTTCTGGACAGGACCTCCTCAAAATCCCAGTTCCCGCCAGCCGCGGGGCGCGCAAGGGCTGAGATTTCCACTCGCCTGCGCCCCGCAGCTGGCGGGAACCGGGATTTCTGCACAAACGAAATCTATCCAAAATCACGGTTCCCGCTGACCGCGGGGCCTGCGAGGGCGCCAGGGGCCAAGATTTCCGCGCCCCTGCGCCCCGCGCTGGCG